CCCCAAAACCCCAAAACCCCAAAACCCCAGGTAAAATAAAATATTATCAAATTTGGAGGAAAGTAAAGAAATTAATGAATTAATGATTGTTGATAAACTTTGATTTTTTATCTATTTTCAGAGCAATCATACAAAGAAATCTGGCATTAAATCAATTTCGTTGATCTTGGTATTTACTTTGTATTTGCTCATATCTGGACCATGGACAGAGGAAATCACCTCATCGTCAATATAAGAGTTATCTGTTGTTGATTTAGAGCAGCTTGTCAAAATCACATGAGCTGCGTCTGCCATTGACTCAACGGATCTAGATTTTGTGACAGCATCATCACCTCCAAGCAGATTTTAGACAACTGCAGTTGCAATAGTGGTTCTTGGCCAGAGTGTGTTGCAGGCAATACCGTCATCCTTAAGTTCCCCTGACAAACCATGAGTTATTAGAGACATGCTAAATTTGGACAGAGTATATCCAGTACCTGTAACTGAGAACCAGTTGATTTTCTATAAATAAATTAAGCAAATTAGTTCAATGATAAAGTTATGTCACCTAAATATTTGTGACGTAGATAGCTCATTAATAAATAGTGCAATGTATCACTTACGTTGTTGATTTCTGGGAGAGGTGGTGAAATTGTGAGAATATGTGGATTCTTAGACTTCTTAAGATGTGGAATGGCATACTTAGAAGCCAAGAAGGTGCCTCTGGCATTTACTGACATTGATAAATCGTACTTCTTCATGTCAGTCTCTTCTACTCTTGTAAGGTAAATAGCTGAGGCATTGTTTACTAGAATATCAAGGCCACCGAAGTGCTTAACTGTCTATTCTATAGCGTCCTTTACACTCTTTTCATCTCTAATGTCACAACTTATTGGTAGACATTATCCTCCTGCTTTCTTGATTTCCTCAGCAGCAGTGTAGATGGTACCTTCAAGTTTAGGATTGGGAGTCACAGTCTTTGCAGCGATGGCAATGTTAGCTCCATCTCTAGCTGCTCTGAGAGCAATTGCCAGTCCGATTCCTCTAGAGGCTCCTGTGACAAATAGAGTTTTTCCTTTTAAGTCTCCAACCTTTTTGAATTCTAATGGTGTGATATTCCTAAGAACCCAGACGTCTTTCTGTGAGTCAACGAAATGATTGTTTATTAGAGAAATTTTTTGCATCTTCTTTTTATGGATAATAATTAAATCTTCTATAGATACAAATCTCAAGATCTCTAAAATCTTTCACTGTGGGGTTTTGGGGTTTTGGGGTTTGTATCTATAGAGATCGGAAGAGCACAC